AATTTAAAAATGTAAATAATATAATTGAGTGTTTTTTTTATTGGTCTTAAAACCCGGCAAATTGTGTTTATTAAGAAATGAAATGTATGTATATACTCAGGAAAAGGACATAAAAACAGTAGTTAAATATATTTTTGGACCCCCCCCCCCTTGAATAAATCCTGGTTGCGCCACTGGTATGCTGTCATTAAATTAAAAATATTTACAAAATTGAAAATGATAGGTAGTCCAAAATATTTTTTAACCATTTAAAGTTTTGGAAAAAAATGTTTTCAAGAACGTTTTAGTGTTTTCTAATATTATATTAAGTTATGAATATCTTACTTTAAGTGGATCGCTCGGTATAATAACATGAATATACTTAGTGAATTATTTCCGTATTCCGACGTACAGTTTATGTCAATTTAAGTCTGTGGTCCCCATAATATTTTGGTCGTGAAACGTATATACATCTTGTATATGAAATTCAAATTTTCAGTTGTGGGCGGAGGGTGGTAATGGTAAAGCATCGATGTATAGATGATGATATAGTCTCAACGTGTGTATCCCAGGACGTAGCAGTATACATTAGGAGGTATTACGTCACACATAATATTCGGATTATCTTTATTATTATTATATAAGGATTTATGCGCTTGTCGCGTCGCATACTGCAGGAACAGCGATTCTGCAATGTTTGTTTTTATTTTTGTTGTCCCTTATCTCTACCCTAAGCGCCTCTCTTCCTCTTTGTTTCTCTCTGCGTTGTGCTTTCTCTTCTCTTTCAKAAACGAAAAAGAATTAGTCGCACGCACCTAATACGTTTCGACGTTCCCGCGAGAGTCGCGAATGCAATATCCTCTTCCGGTCCATATCGCCTCTCCTTTCCCAATCAAGCGCACGCGGACATTATATGACCGGGAAATTCGAAACTCTATAAAGCCACGACGTTCGGATCTTATTTCGTGGGACGCGGGCGAACGAAATGTACGAAGATTAAACACGTCATACCGGAAAAACTGTTTACAAACCATTTGCACCGGGCCATCGTTGCCTCGACGGATCCCGCTACCGCAACCGTCCCCGGGGGACAGTTGTAACTTTCTAGTACGTAAGTGTGTATGTGTRTGTGTGTGTATATAAGGTGTATTAACCACGTGTCACTACGATCACTGATCTAGATTAAAAAAAAAAAGGAATAAACTGAGTGTAAGTACTGGATACTTTAGTGGTTGAGATCACTATAAGGTCGGTTTTTACGAAAGCGAACATGGATGATGTTTCGTATACACACGCGATAATATATTTTAGCATACAATTTTTATACTTAAATATTTACCTACATATATATAGGTTTCCTTATATAACATAAGTCGCGAGTATAATAATATACATAATATAATCGTACTTATATAGCTATATAAACACACGAAGATTACGTAATGTACCTATATATACGGAAAACACTCGGAATATTTTACGATATATTTTTRTCATATACGACGTGGATATGCTACATGTTAAATATGATAATAATATGCGTGTATATTGTATATTATTATATAGAGGTAGGGTACTTTAATATATTATTATTATTATATTATTCACATTTCCTTCATCCGCACCACCGTGCGCGCCAGATACCACCCGATGCCACCCGTCTGCGTTTCCATCGTAAAATTTCGGTTGGCCGTTTTTCCGACGTTATTTCTCGCGATCGCGAATTTAAAGTTTTCCTTAATAATAATTACAAATTCCGTCTCGAGGGTGCAAAACAATTAAAACGATTAAACAAACTACTTGTTTACACAATTATTTCTATTGCACGGGACCTGTATAATATAATATATTATTATACAAATTGGTAACATCCTACTGTCCTAGGTTGAATACTATTTCGGATTCCAAAATTGATTGAATAATTTGTGACTCTAAATAACGGTTTCATCTTGTGTAAGCGAGTGCTTATGTTTTCGTGTGCGTTTGTACATTTTGTTTGGTAAATACTATAAGGATTGCATATCATGTAGATATMTACCAACTGCATTTTAATATTATAATTCAAATAAGATTAAATTACTATTATTTTTTGTTTCCGGTCAACCGTGTGATATGTTTTATTCATTATTGTGAACGCCGATGTTATTATTATTCGTACAGTCCTGTATTTACGTAATACTCGAATTTCTATTGGTTATTTATTACACAACAAGATACTTACCTAAAACATACTATATTTGTATAGAATATGAAAAAAAAGAAAACAACTGTGACTGGACGAAATACAAATAAAAAATAATAATATTAAAAGATTTTTATTTACTCGCTGAGAGTAGGTAATATATTATACTAAGATACTTTTAGTGGAATTTTTTTTAGATTGTCTAAAGTAAGTACGGAATATACAATATGTCAATATAAAGGCACTTACATAACATAACTATTCAGACAGTATTGTGCCAAAGTCAATATTTTTCATTTTCGTAAGATAATATAGCTTGTCTAAGAATCATTGATGATAAATAAATCATTATTTTCACAAAACAAACTTTGAAAATTCTTATTACATTGTTAACTCAACTAAATACATTAAATATTGAAATCAATACGTTTTGTCTTGAAAGTTATTAATCTCAAAAGTTGCGAACTAGAAATTAGAACGGAGACCATAGAAAATAAAGTTGTCTTTGGGTATTATATTTTAAAAATAAAGAAATAAAACAATAAATTGTTTTGTTTATTACCTATAGTACTCACGTAGTTGATGTGATAATTATTTATTTTTATCTCATTTTTAATGAGTTTTAAAAATAAATCAAAGAATGTTTTCTTCGTCTAGGTATTCTAGTTTTTTAATTTTTAAAGGTATAGGATTTTAGGGCTAACCACTTTAATTCAAATTTCCCAGCTTTTTATTTATGCTTGACCAAACAAATATAGAATATTAACTGTATGCACTTCTTTCTTCTTCTTCTCTGGCACTTAGTACTCTCTAAGAGTTTTTGCCGCCATCACAATATCTCTCCATTTTTCACGGTACTGAACTACTTCCCTCCATTCCTGTACTCCCAATCTTTCAAGGTCTTCTTCCACAACATCCATCACTTCTATAGTACATTATACATATATTAWGATTAGTTTTATTTTATTTTGAATCAAAAGTAAAAATAAAAAAATATTAAAAATTAACCATTTATGTAATTCAAACAATTTTTTTTACAACAACTCATAAGTATTAGGTACTGGTAAACATACGTAAGTATTGTGTTTATAGACATCGCTCGTACTTCATTAATAAAATATTTTGATTATAAAATTGGTATACTTTTAAAGTAAACAATATTACAACTTGATAATTTATTAATATATTTCTTACCAGGATTAAAAACAAATCGTTTTGTGATACTGTATGGAGTACTCGGTATAATGAGTTCACAAAAAAATGTTGTTCGCGATGGTAATTCGGATTCGGAGAACAACGTTGATACTGTGACATCAAATGCGCCATCGTTCTGATAATCCAATATCTCAATAGGCAAAGAACTGTTTCTAAAAAAAAAATAACAAAATAATTGTATCAAACTCATATTTCCAATTTTAAATCAATCAATGTAATAATATTTATGTATGACTGAAATCAAACGAATTGTTTAGTACATCAAAGGCAATAAAGGAATATTAGATCACTTTTTTTAATCAAATATTTACCATAAACTAAAATTAAAATACATCCAATGGACAATATAATATAAAATACAAAAATAACAATACAATCTCATAAACATATCATACTTAATTTACAATTAGTACTTGTAAAGCTAAATATTAACACTTTTTTTTACATTTATTAGAATATATACAATCTGTAATAGTAGTTACAATAAGCATATGAGCGGAAATGTACAAGTTGACTGTGAAATCGTAAGGGAAGTAGCTACCCAGCAGTAACACTCGACTATATTAAAACTTGAAATACATTTTTAATGCGTATGTGTAATAAAACGACGATATACATAGTATATATATCTACTTTTTAAAGAGTCAAATATTTAARGTTAAAGTATACATATGAAAATACATATTCTAATGCGATTATCCTAAACTTGAATTCAACTAACTGTATCAACATCACCTTGACTGTGAAATGTTGAGATCACATGTGACAATAATTCACAAATGTTAGGCCTTCAGACCTAAATAATATCACGGATACAATTTGTATGTATTTATTTCATAGAAAAAAATATGTTTTTGTATAATGAGTTCTTATMAATTGTTTTATTGTACCTATCTTTATTATATTTTATATTTGAGATTAAAATGTCTTAACATGCAAAAGCTATGATATCGAGGACAATATATAACTGCAGATGATGCAAATTAGTACATTACAAGTGTATTTTTTCACGCTCCTTGTTTAGTATTACGATACCTAATATGGGAGTTTTGAACTTTTGATTTTTGTTTTCACAGTGTTACTTTAAGTAATGCTTTTCAGAAATGTTATTATATTAATAGAACTTTCAATTCATCAATCTAAACAATCTTGTTATACGAATCGCTAACATCGATATTTTTTTGTTAGGTACTCAAATCGAATTTGTAATTCTATAATAATCCGCTTGTTTATATTGACAATTTCATTACAACGAGGTACTTATCTCGAAATCAATAAAATAATTGATTCTATATATTATTTATATTACTTTTTTATGAAAAAAAAAAAATGGGGAAAAATTCAATATCTAGTTATATCATTGTTAATTTGTTAAAAAAAACAAGATAAATAGAAATTTGTACTAAGCAAAATATTAAGATATTTCTCCCCAGTTTTACTTGTCATTAAATATTTTTGTGTGATAAAAATTAGTAAAGCAATTTCTATCCCCTATAGGTAAATATATTGGTTATTAAAATAAAACAAGATAACAAAATAAAACAATTTAAAAATACATTTATTTCATTTAACTAAGTTAATAACTAAAAGAGTTAAATATATATTTGTTACGACAGTTTTGAACTAATCAAAATGTAACAAAAATAAATAAATGAAATGAGATGAAAAAAAACTGTACATAATTTTCTTCATTTAAAAATTAATTCAMCAAAATTAATTTAATAAAACTTTTGTTGAAAAATTGTTAAAAAAAGATACAGTCATAATACTGAGGGTCTTTGAATTGCTTTAGAAGTTGCTCGATTAAAACTTTGGCTGTTTTAAAAAGCTTTCAGAATTTCTCGAAAAATGAATATGAATTGTAAGTTATCATGGAAATTATAAATAACCGAAAACATGACAAGTATATAGAATAACATAATATGATAATAATACTATTGTTAATATAACAAAATATTACCAAATTATTTACTTCCATAAATGTACCAAATAATAATATTTGTTTTATAGTTCAAATTCGCGTTTGTTTAGATATTTGACTTTGTAATGTGGAGCTCAGTATAATGACATTCATCGCGATCATAAAATGATTTTGAAATTGGTTAAACCACTCGACTGACACTTTTTTTCGAGCTCAAAATAAAATATGGTAATATTATTATAGCATTATTATTAGTTTAAGGAAAAATAATAAAGGTATATCTAACGTATAAATCCCGTTAAAGACGATCAGTCATAATACAAAAATATAGATAGAGTTATTTTTTTAAGAAAAAAATATATAGTTTTTAAATAATTTTAAACATAGTTTGAATCGGATTTTCAATAAATTATTATAATAGTCCTGGAGAAAACAATATTATAATATAATAATATAAGTTCAATATGGCAATATTTGATAAAAGTGAAATGCGGTTTTTTTTTGGTCGATATTATTATGACGCCTCGGAGAAATTAACATCACGAACCACTACCACGGTATATTGTATGTATATTACATAATAGAAGAAAAAGTTAATTAGGCAGTAATGGTAATTACGAACGAATAACGAAAATTATGCAAAAAAAATTTTTGAAGGGATCGGTTATTAACAACGGTAAAAATTAAACTTTTGAACCAACGCGCTACRTTTTTTCTTGCGATATAGCGACGCTGAAGTTGAAACTATATTTACGAATATAATATAGATTATCTAATGATGAGTTTTTATTTTTACTCGACACAGTTGTACAGCAGCCTCCAAAATACGTGTGAAAATTACTTATAGTAAGTACGTAGTCGTATTTCACGTTCCCATAACAGTATGGTCTTTTGTATTGTTGTTGTTGTGTGTTTTTGATTTTCCAAGCGTATATGATTGGTTACGACAATTTATAAAACGYACGCCGATAAGGAAGGGGGGGCGTATCTCATCAATATGTGAACTACTGCAGGCTGCTGCTGCTGATACATCTTCGGTCAACCGAAGACTTAAGCGGTGACATGATTTATCGTCTACCGACTTTTGTCTGGACGTTTCCACTTTTTAACAGCGTTTTTTTCTCCTTAAAACGTCTACAAGAATAACTGTTGAGTATATCCCCCCTCAAAAAAAAAAAATAAAAATAAAAATAAAAAAACTACATGCGAAAAACACTATAAATGCAGACAGTGCAGTTTTACCAGTAACTTTTCTTATATATCTTACTCTTTTAGTTTCTCTAACTCTCACTTCCTCTTTGTGTAAGCATTAACTTTGGTTTTCCATCGTTTGTATTTATTTTGTATGAGTGTACACTGTACATATAGACACTAGAGGGTGACTTATTCTAAGTGCGTTTATAGTAGGTTATGGTAGTTTTATTGTGAAACAATACGTGATGAGGGGCTAATATATTGTAATAGGTGCCATTTGAATAACAGTTGTTATTACCTATATTATAAAATGTAATTACATACAAAAATTATTAGTACCTAGGTATAAACAATAAGGAGGTACATTATAAGCATATTGATGCTTTCATATTAAAAAATTAATAAATTGTTTGAATAAAATCAAACACCTACCGCTGATTTTAAATATGGAAACTCGAAAATATAATAATATAAGTAGCCCCTCACTTATCATCTCATAATAAAACAACTAACTTTTTGTTTAGTTAATATGTGTACATTTTTTTACGAGTAATTAAAAATCAATCTAACCTTGTCGAAAGGGAACTTATTTCGTTTTAGATTGATTTGGTCATAATATTATATAAAAAGTAAACAATTTTTAATTATGTTCACACAATGACTACAAYGATCTATGTAAGGTTTTAAGTAAGTGCAGATATAATGCAATTGAAATGAGATAGAATATTAAATTGATTAATGATGTAACTATGTGGTTATTGCATAATGCTTAATAGCATTGAGTAAAGGGATTTAAATATGAACTAATAATAACGTGTCTTTAGAATAACAATGGAGATAATGAGTATACATATATGTATAAGTTGCATATTATACATGTACACATACGATATATTAAGTATATACTTATTATATATTATATACAAAGGGTTAGAATAATCATAGTAATTATCATCGTTGGTTGATTATGTCATATTAATATATTGGAATTTTAATAATGAACGACAAAATATTAAGGAAAATCGATATTAACATAGACAATTAATTTACACAATATTTTTCTAAGTTCACACATATATAAGTGTAACTTAAAATTTAAAAACAATATTTTGYGRACCAAATTAATCATTTTAAATCAATAGTGAAAGAATGAATGCGTTGGTTTTAAAATGATATTTTTTTGAGTTAGTCACTAAATTTTGGAGTTGAAAATCGGATCCAATTAGTTCTTTGGTTTGATTCGTACTTTTAAAAATAAACAAGTAAAAAAAAATAAAGAAATGACTGTCATTTTTATGCAAATCATGGTAGATTATAATAGAAACGAACTACTATGGAAATTAGTCATCAAYTATTAGTACGTATACTAGCATATTCTTAAAATGATATAAATTTYTAAATAGACTCTTTCTATTTTTAGACTATTTATAACCATTAAAATCTTTCAACTTCTTTACATTTGTTTCGATTTTTTTAGAATACATAATATACAGTATGTAATGTTCATAGACGAATAAAAAGCTTCAAAATATTTAATTTAAGTTTCCTGATAAGTTTATAATATTATAGTGGTTAAAAAAATA